TTTCTCAAATTGATACATTTTGGTACGCTATAAACAGATTCAAAACAAATCGTATGTAAGTAAAGTAGTACTAAAAATTATTTAAACGGCTATAGAATAATAATTCATTCTTGATATCTTAAAACTTAATTAAATTTATTTAAAGTGTGTTTTTATGTCAGATGTAATAATCCATTGATTATTCGAAATATTATTTTTATTTGTTAACTATTGCTTGTTAACGGCACTAAAAACTCGCAAAAATGTAAATACTAGTACAAAAAATTATTATAGTATTGCCTGGGATGTGATCGGACCATTATGTTTTTAGTGTATTTCGAATTTAGTTACATTCTGTGTGAAAAAACAGAAATTGAATTTATTAGCTTCCATGTATTTTAATTCATATTTGCCAAACAACTGATTGATATTGAATCAATCATATCATAATATTGAATCGCTGGTTCAATATTGAATTGATGGCGTCAAAACTATTATAACCCACTAATATTGGAATCGCACTGGCATCGCAGTTAAATATCTTCACATGTCACTTCCATTAATAATGGACAATTAATAATTGAATGCTCTTCATTTACAAATTCTTAATTTTTGTGTATATTATGAAATTAAACTAAAAAATATGTAAATAGAAAATTGTTGAATATAATCACAGGAAAAAAGAAAGAGAAACCGAGAAAGCAGAGAGAGGAAAGATAGAAAGGAGAGACAGAAAGGAGAAAGAGAGGAGGGAGATAAAGGATAGGAGAGAGAGAAAAAAGAAGAGAGGGGAGAAAGAAGAGGGGAAAGGAGAGATAGAAAGTAGGAAGAGAGAAAAAAAGGATAGAGAGAGAAAGAATAGAAAGAAAAAGGAGAGAAAGAAAGAAAAGAGAGACAGAGAAAAAGCAAATGAGAAAGAAAGAAAGAAAAGAGAGAGAGAAAGAAAGAAAAGAGAGAGAGAAAGAAAGAAAAGAGAGAGAGAAAGAAAGAAAAGAGAGATAGAAAGGAGGTAGAGGAATTCCCTAATGCGTCCTGGAACTAAAGGCAGAAAGAAGAAATTGTACTAAACACATAAGGCTAAAGCAGAAAAAACGACGGGCGAAATCAGAAGAATAGTGTAAAAACTTCAATAATGGAAGGGAAGTTTTTACAACACCACATATTACAAAGGAAATTAAAGGGTTTAATAATGACAAGACATATTCTATGAAAAGCAGGTAGAGAGAGAAAGAGAGTGAATACATTACCAGAGAGAGTGACTCTAAACACATCAGATTAGATATTCACGGAACAATCACTTCTAAGTCTTCTAACACAAACGAAAATATTGAAAACAGAATTGATCTATGCCCTTGATGAGTAAAAAAAAATAACAGTTATTAAAAAAAGATATCAGAAAGAAATTATTACTGTTATGTATGAAAAATTCTCGACATTACCTACTAAGCTAATAAAATGAAGTCAGAAATTTAGAGTGTCCTTATAACAAATTGGGCTTATTTTCTTTTTAACATTTTTATTATTCAATTAAAATAACCTGAAAAGCCCCGAAGAGACTTTCCCAAAATTCAATCAGCCATTCCATCAATTACCAATGTTAAGCAAAATAGTTGAAAAAGTGATTCTTTTAAGATTCAAAGAATCAATAATATTGAAGTAGAGCAATATGGATTTCCAAAATACAATTTCACTCAACGACAGTTGTCCAATGTGTAGTTCAATGAATCTAATCATTAGACCTTGTCATGATACAGCAAAGGCACTCGAGGTTAATAGTCAAAATGGAACGTTTTCACAAAATCTGTACAACTTCTTGAAAAACAGTAAATTTCGATTATGCTTTCAGTCCATAATGTTAAGTTTAATGTGAGTGTCCATCGTGAAAAATGGATATTGTGTCATAAAGTGCTCTGAAGTCGTGCTCTTTCTCATGATGAGATAGAGTGAAACAATATGCAGTCGGAGTCATAAGTCTACAAGCAGGAGGTACAAAAAACTTTGAAAATATTTTCCAAAAAAATCAATTTATTGGAAATATACTTTATTGTTTTTTTTATAACATTCAATGCATAATGTTTTTGCGAACTTTCATTTCATGTGTTCAAAAAACAGCCGAGATAACGGTACTTTCATCATAAAGAGTAGCAAAACAGGCGATCAAAAGTCTACAAGCACTAAGTATAAGGAGCCACTCGTTGACTTCGACGATTAAGCGTCGTTCACCATACTCAAAAGGATATCATACTACACAAGCAGATCTTTGCGAGTTACAAGGGGCTGTGGGGCTTGCTTAAGAGTGCAAGTGCATTGGGGATGGGCAGATCATATTAATGGATCTATTCGGCCTTTAACAACAACAACACTAGTAAATATGTACAGACATACATACATAATAATTAATCCAATCTTTTTGTCGTATATACTGAGGTGATTAGTGCTAGGTTAGCTTAGGTTGGAGTGGCGGCCTTGTGCCCAAAGACCAATTGTGCTCCAATAATGGCCCGCCGTGATACCACATGATGTAATTAGTGTGTTAGTTACTATGTCCAGTTATTCCTGATATATGTATGTATTATGTATGTATGTAGCAATAAATATTATTTATGATACTTGAGTTGTGGGTGAACTGGAGGATCGTCCAATATAACAAAATGTAATCATTAAAGTAATTAAATAAACTATCAAACTGTCAAATTTTTGTTTTTTTAAGTTAAATTTATATAAATACGAATACATAGAAAAAATTTAATACATATCAAAACATTAATACATATTTACTATGCACATAACAAAGCATATATACAACTATTATTATTGTATATAACGCATTCATTTGTAATACAATGTATATATGTATGTATGTTTTTGTGTTCTAAACGGTGTTTGCTGACTTTGTTTTACACTAACCCCTCTTTCCGCATTTACTCCCCTCCACTTAACATTTATCGATTTGATATGAAAAAAAATATATGTATATACAGAACATACGTACATATTTATGCACAGATAAATACTCACTCACATACATACCTACATACATACATATGTATATTGCAAGAAAAGACCGTTGTTTAAGCACAGGCACGAAAACCATCAGAAGGTTACGCTGCCACATAGGCCGCCTAGCTCGACAACAATAGCAACAACATCAACAAACAAACTAAATATAAAAAAAGAAAAAGTAACAAACTGAACCAGCAGCGACGACCCACCAACCAAACCAAAGCACAGCACAGCACAGCACAGCACAACATGCCATTTAATGCTTGATATTCCTCCTTACATTCACACCATGCCATGCCTGCGCTGGTTACGCGACGACTTCAATATACGCTAACGTCAGCTTACTAAAAAGCACAAGTTGTACTCGCAGTCGTTGTCGTCGTTATTTTTGTTATTGTTTTTGTCACTGTTTGGGCGATAACTGGCGCTGATGTTACAGTCGTCGGTTTGCAAGAGGATGGCGAAGGCAAGAGGAAGCAGCAACACAAAATACAACAATACAGCCGGGCTAGAGCATTTCAAAGTAACGTGCACAAAACAGGAGTAGTGTAATATACGTACATACATACGTACGTACGTACGTACGTACAAATGTACGTACATATATCAACGGGTATAGCAGCAACATTGTACGAATTATAGCGAAGTGGGGGTATTGACGGGTAGCGACACACAGTTTTTTAGTTACCAAAAGCAAACAGGCAGGCAGGCAGGCAAGCAAGCAAGCAGTGCATATAGTAGGGAATGTGTAAGTAGGAGGATGGAGAACGCGGAATGGATCGATGGCGAGGTACGACGGCAAACTGCACACACGCATACAAAAGTAAAGCGGTCAGGCAGAGAACGCTAGCAGCTACAGCGGCAGCATCAAGAATAACACTAAAAATAAAGTAAAAACATAAAAGCGACGCATCAACAACAGAAACAGCAGTTGATGGCACGACGATAACAACAACAGTGCTGATGAAAACCACAACAACAAAACAGCAAAAATAAAAAAATAAAAAAAAACATAATATAGCAGATATGCGACCGTACTTCTACTACTTTACCTTTCGGTTGAGCACCGCCAGCAGCCCCCATTGTTAGCGACTGCACTAGTGCAAACAACTACACAGCAGCTTGTGTGTTTATTTAGATGCATATACATATGTATCTACATATGTATATGCTATATGTACGCGATTATGTTTATGTTTATAAATAAATTGCACGGAAAGCAAAAGCAAACAGTATTTATGGCGGTAAAAGAAAAAAAAAACAAAGCTTAAATATAACATAGCGGTATAGTGCAAAAAACTTTAAACATTTAACCGAATTATTGTTCGGTTAAATGCATCAGGTTACTTCTAACTGTGTTAAACAAAACTTACAGAAGTTAATTAAAATAATATTAAGAACAGTTCTATTGCCGCCTAAAATGTGTACATTCATGTATGAATACTCAATCTTAACCGACTCATATGATAACGACGACAAATGCCTTTTTTCCATATTACTTCACTATCCTTTACCGCTTTGGCTAATAGCAGCTAACTTTGTGCTATGTAAATGTGATGCGTTAACAGAACCCGCCTGCGGGCAATTCAACAAGAGTGCTCGTTTGGAGTTAAGGAAAGGAAAGCAGCGACATTTTGTGCGCTTACGTTGTCGCCTTTGCAATGAAAGCGACGGCGACGACGCCAACACCAACGCCAACGCCAAAGCTAACGTCTGCACATATTGTGAAGAGGGACTTCTAGTGCTGCTGCTGCTGTTGATGGTTTTTGCTGTTTGTGCGGTGGTTGTTGTTTCAAACATCGTGTATGTGTGCTCATCATTCAAGTGTCCGACTTTTGTCGAAGCGGTCGTTATATCGGAACTTTTGCGTGCAAATAAAATAGCAGCGCATTTAACGGCGGTCAAAATATGTGAACTATGTACGCAAGTGCATATAATATAAACACAAATGTGTGTCTGTATGTATAGACAAAAGTGTAATATAATAATAAGCAACTACATATGTATGTATGTATATTCACATGAGTGTGTATGTGTGTGTATCAGCTCGCTATTGTGAATTTAATTTTTGAAAATCCAACAACAACCATCGTGCAGCAAATTAAGTTAAGTTTTACTGTAAATTGAATAAGATTTTCGAAAGTACTTCAAAATGAAAACGCCGCGAGTTGCTAGTGAATCTTCTACAACATCAGATAACACAGCAGAATTTATTGATATAGTCAAGAAGTACGACATTGTATATAACACGCATAATCCTGACTATAAAAATGTCGAAGTTAAAATGAAGGTTTGGACACAAATCGCCAACGAAATTGGTTTGTCCGTTGGTAAGTAGAAACAGAAACGGTGCAGAAAAACACACAAGACAATAGAAAATGTAAAATCTCTAAAAAAAAAAAGCAAAAAACCACTAAAACAAAAACAAAATAAAGTAAACAACAAAAAAGAAGAGACTAACAACAAATCCTCGGCATCCAAGCAAATGACGTTACTTGCGTAAAAGTTACAGGCGAGCAAGACTCGCGAAAAAGAGAACGAGAGCATTTCGCTACATTGTTTATTTTCTATATGCGCTCGTTTAGTTTTATTGTTCTGAATGTGTTGCTTGCAATGGCATTCCAGTAACAAAAAATACTAATAAATAATATATTTAAAAAAAATTAAACTTCAGGCAACTGTATACTATATGCAAATATTGTATAATTTGTGATGATTATTAATTGTCTTTGTATATAATTAAGTTTTGAAATTATTTGCATTTAATTATATTATAATTAACGCATTAGAATATATTTCATTTTAATAAAATAACTTTTCTCTATTATTTCTTAATTAATTACCACTTATCACAAATTTTTAGTTAATTCAAATTGATTTATCAGACTTTAAAGATGCTAAATCATTGAAAATACTACAAAAAATCCAATTTGATGAAAACACCGCTTATCACAATTTCGTTCGGCATATAAAGGGGATGTCCAAAATTTTTTTGTATTAGATTTGTATATTGTGTGTATTTAGTTTTTTTCAAGTAAAAAAAAAATTTTAAAATAAATTAATATATTAAAAAACTTTTAAGAAAGGAACAAAATCAAAAATTACAACAAATTATCTCACAAGTTTTTAAACGCTAAGTGCACAGAACAACCGCGACTTCACTGCACCTTCGACAAAACTCTAGTAGAATTTATTATGCACTTGCGCTTACGACTGATTTTTGACAGTGTTACCATATTTGAAATCGTAACATTTAAATTTGTGACCACTTTTTTCATATATACGATTTTCAAGGAATTGACGATCAAGGAATTGACACATACTTAATTATAATGCAATACGTTATTAGTAGAGTTATTAAAGAAAATATTAGGCCCACTATAGATTATAAATGCATTTTTGTTATATATTTAATATAATAGAAAAGAATATAAAAATAAATTCATAAAGTTTCACTTGATTTTCAAAAACAAAAACAGAAAAATATTTAATAAAAAAGTATAAGCAACAGATAATTTTATTATTATTTTATAGTAATATAATTACATAATAAGTAATAATATAATATAATAAGTAATAATATAGGACGTCTGCGAGTTAGGCTAAGTTGCGTTCTAAATGAGAGAAATTCTAAGTTGTGCCGATAATTTAGTGATGTGTCGATATATATTGATAAATGGCAAAATGTGTGCAGTGCAAAAAATGCCAAAAAATCCCATTTGGTTTAGCATCAACTTAGCCTAACTCGCACACGTCCATAATATAGGCCGTATGTGAGTTCGAATAAAAGGATGGTAAATTGAGGGAAATAGTAAATTATGTCGGTATGGCAGCGAATGTTAGTATTTATCAGAATTTCGAGTAGAGTAAATTAGATAAAAATTAGGTAAATAAGGTGTTACTATTGTGAAAACTTTATAAAATGTTAAATAAATAAATTTGAAAACTTTTAAACGAAAATAATAAATAAGTTCAATAAATAAATATTTACATAAGTACAGTGCAAAAAATCCCTAGGAAATTTCAATTTAGTTTACCTCGCACGCAGTCATTATAAGTAATATTATAATAATAATAATATAATATAATAATATATGCACATAAAATTATACATTTTTTTTATATAAATTTTCAGTAAAGATTTATTTGTTTTAATTTTATTAGGGACCGTTCAAGTAATACGCAATGCAAATTTTTGTTATTTTAGAACCTTCTCTTCCTTTAAAACAGTATATCGAAAATTTATACACATACCCATTCTTTGGAATAAAGTTTTTGCGATAATTGTTGGCTGAGCATACCATTTTCTTCAAGTAGTGAAAACTGTAGTGATCACGGAGTGCATTGGCGCTATTTAGTTAGCCTACAACCGATCACCAACCTGTACGGTTAATAAAGGATATTATATTTCACACATCTATGTTTGTGATGATCGCCAGGCTTCTTAGTTCGTAGGTTATTATAGGACGTGTGCGAGTTAGGCTAAGTTGATGCTAAACCAAATGGGAGATTTTTTGGGATATTTTGCACTGCACACATTTAGCCATTTATCAACACGTATCGACACATCACTATATTACCGGCACAACTTAGAATTTCCCTCATTTAGAACGCAACTTAGCCTAACTCGCACACGACCATAGTACAAAGTCTTAATATTGTTACATTTGCATTTTCTATATATTTGGTTCAAAGAGATTATCAATTTTTCGTGACCGCTGCCCACTGATCAGTAGACTGTCATCACCACAGCGAGTTTTACCACTTTGACCTCGGCTCTAGGATTTTCGTAGCTTATATATGATTGATTGCAAATAACGATTTTTTGTATATCTTAAATAAAAACAAAAACGCTTGTTCATCTTGAATCTTTATTTTAGACTGAAAAAGTTTTTAATATGTCACAATTGAAAAACTTAGCGTTGCTTCCAATAATTATGCTTATTAGACATAAACACTCCATAAGCATAAACACTTGGGCATAAGAAGAATGTCAGTTAAACAAAATACCATGTTGGAAGCAACGATAACATAAACAAAAATACAATATTAGAAGCAACTATGCTTTATTTAAGTTAGTGTATACTGATTAGAGTATCATCTATGTTACTTACATATATATCAGTTATACAAAACATTACAGTACATTAAAAATAAATATTAATAGTTCGTGGTATTCCAAAGAAGCTTTTTCAAAGAATAAGAGTAGTTTTGGAATAGTTTAAAAAATAAGTAAAATGTAAAATAACTTAAGTCATCAATTTTGCTAACTTAATGTATAACTAAGTCAGTTTTGAGACTTAAGTTACGATTGTTAAATTATCCTTGATATATACGAATATATTCTACACAATTGATCTTTATTTGCGAGATCTGGTTATGTTTTCGTTAACTATTACATTTTAAATATGTAATAAAAAGTTTCTGACACCTGTAGATTTTGTGATATCTGGAACATAACATAACACTGACTACTTACATATATTTTCGTGTTATATTATTAAAAAATGAGTTCTATACCTTAATTTTCTATGCTTTAACCTGGTATTGAACGAAGTTTTCTCAGAAAGCAGTCTTTGATCTATAATGCGATTTTATAATATATAATATACTGCGGTTTTCAGCTAAAATAAAAGTTGAATTGGATTCTCCAAATACAAACCAACAAAATACGTCATGTACAACCATCAAGAATTTTTTTATTAAATTTATGATAATTTTTTACCAAACTATATATATTTATTTTTGCAGCGTATGTAATGTCTTCTTTCTAACTCTAAGAAATAAAAGAGGTGTCAGATTGTCGGTCTCGCCGGCATCAATGATTAGTCTAACGCCTCCATTAATATAGGAAGAAACTAGTTGTTTGATATTACTATAATATTAAACAGTTGTATCCATAGGGCTAAATCGATTTAATACAACAAAGTATCGTAGAAATTTAACATTTATTGATATTTGAAAGATAAACGTGTGATTTACCGGTGGATGAAGAAAAACTGAGAATTTTTCTTCTCATACATTAGTAGGGACGGTTGTGATTCATGTAAAAATTCAGTGACTATCGTAAAATAATCATAATAATAAATTTGAAAAAAAACGGTTAATTTTCTTTTATATAAGAAACTTCGCCTGCTGCGTATTATTCACATAGAGGTTTCAAACGTCATCGTATACCTAGCACTCACGATACCAAGAAACAGATGCAGTAAAGTATTTTATGATATATTCACTTAAGTCATGCTACGAATATAAGACTGTTGTTGGTACTTGGACACACAGTAGTGAAGGGGGTCTGATTACACAGATTTAAAATGTATATAAAAGTAACAGACGACAACAACCATATTCTAATTATACAGACTACGGTATCGTTTTTAATCTGTTAATGCACACCATGTTTAAAATAGCTATTTAATGGTACCCATATTCCAAGATATGTGTTAATTAGGACATTAGGGCAGATCCTTCATATTACCAGCTGATTGTTAAACACCTTTTTTATATGAGCTTATAAATTCAGTATTTGTACTTGTTGATTGTTTCTCACGAAACGTAAAATTATTGGAAGAACATAACATTTTGAGTACAATTCGTCTTTTTTTATGTAGAAATATATATACCATAAATGTAAGAATATATATACCACATTGATATAGTATTTTATATAACAATTTAATAAAATTTTATTTAATTTGATTTGTTGAATATGATTGAAATATGAGTTGAAAATTTACATCATTTAATTGTTATAAATTAATATATTGTTTAATTGAAATATTTCATTATTATTTTTAAGATGCGGCGAAACGAAAATGGAAAAATCTACGGGACAGTTATACCAAGTATTTACGTTCATTTCGTACAGGAACCAAAACATCTAAAAAATATCAATTTTGGGCTCATGCAGAACATATGGTTTTTCTTAGACCTTATCAAGGTCCAGGCAGGTATGATCTCTTTATCTGAATTATTAACTGGTTTTAACTTATTCTTATTTTATGTAGAAATCCGAACAATAATGTAAAGACAAAAAGCGAAGAGGAAGATAATGAATGCGATCTAGGTTATCAAGTATTAACTAAAGCGTCAACAAATTTAGAGGATGATATAAGCAGAATATCAACTACAGTTACCACTGCACCTATTCAAAATGCACCTACAACTACTCAAACAATAGCTATAATACCACCAGCTGTAAGTTCTCTCACACCATCTACGGGGATTTCAACTTATTCGTCGATAAGCAGTTTTGGATCTTTAACTACAGCTTCAATAAATAACACTGCGTCTGGTACAATATTGTTGCCGGTACCATCATTGCCTCATGTACCATTGCCACCACAGTTATGCAAATCAGTATTAAGTCAGCCCACACTTCCTACGCTAGCAACAACTATGCCAACACAAATATTTCCCCAACCTCAATTACCAAACATTATCAAATCTGCATTACCAATAACGGCTAGCAGTACTTCGAATAGTGTTGGTTGCCTCATTATTGAGCCTCAATTATTTGCATCAGCTGATACCTTTAAAAAGGAGCTGGGCTCCCATTCCAACCTTAATTTGTTTCAAAATACGGTTTCATCAGTACCGGTTATATCATCACCTGCTTCAACTAAGTCAGCGCAAGCACCGTCGAGCAACAAAATACGTCGTGTACAACCGTCTCCTCAAACTGCAGCCATTAATCTAAGCTTTTCTGCTACAACACCAAACGTACAACCGCCTCAACCCAAAGTACGAAAATTAAATGATAGAAGCGATATTGACATATCTGCAATATTACAAGCGAATCGCGATTTGGATGCCAATACATTATTTTTCCTTAGTTTAGCAAAAACAGTTCGCTCCATGCCAACGAAGTTTCAATCGTTAGCTAAAATGCGTTGTATGCGCATTGTCAGTGATATTGAGTTGGAACTGGAGAACGCAATTGAATGCAATGGTTCTATTGCCCCAGACGATGGTATGAATGGCAATTCTAAATACTGTAGCATTGATACTCCACCACCTCCGAACGAAGGAGGTTGCATACAAAATCCAATAAATGAAGGTGCAACTGAGCACTTTGTGTATGTTATGTCTCCATCACGTGTGGAAAGCATGATTGATATTTCGTCCGACGAGGAATCTGGTCTAAATGGCAAATAAATTTGTTGATATTTAAACTGTAGAGCTTAAAGAATAAAATAAAAAATAAGAACATGTAAATAGAAGTATAAATATATATAAAATTCTGAAATATATGTAGAACTGAAAAATTTATTTAATTTTTGTAGAATACTTTTAGTTTCAAACTTTTATTTCGAGAATCATTTCCTTGAAAACTCCAAATTTTTTTCCAATTGCATTCATTTATTGAATGAAAATCATATTTTTCAGTACAAACAATGTTTCTTTATTGATATCAAGGCTTATGACTGTATGAATTAATGAATGAATTTCATTCAGAGGATGTTGTTTACAGATCTTTCTCAGAAATGCATATTTATATCACATAATAATATTTACAATTGCACTTTGCTTTTTGTTGTAAAAGCAAAATAAGCTACTGCACTAACAACAACAGCAGCTAACAATTCAGCTTTAACCCAGGGTCCTTTGTAGGCACCTTTAGTCGGAACTGAAATATCAATTAAGGATTTGATTGCATTGATACTTTCGCCGTCACGTTGTGCTTTTCGAATGTCGGTGTAACCATCTTCATCAAATAGACGAACAACAACGTTTCCACTGCTACCCTTTTTGATTTCTTCTGTCCAGCTCACCTATAGCATCAATCAAAGAATTGATTAAAGAAGTTCTTGACAAAATTCATAAGATATATAACGCACCTGGTATTTATTGTCGCCAATACGAGCTACTGGGACTAAAGCTCCGCAAGGGAATTCAGCGAATAATGCTGGCTGTTCGCCATTTCCACAAGTCAAAGTGAACTCTCCAACGTGCGCCAAAGTAGTAAGGATTGTCGCATCCTGTGTACTGAAAGCATTAACAGTAACTTTAGGTTTGGTGCATGTAGCAGCTAGCCCATTGGCAGTCCATAATGAGATCAGCAAAACAGTGAACAAAACACGCGACATTTTATTTATAATTTATTAAAAACTTCTTATTGAAATTTATTGCAGATACTCCAACTTCGACTGAAGACCACCAACACGTCTAATCAAAAACAAATGTGAAAGCGACTGTTTGACGTGTCACGACAATACGTTGCATTCGGCTTTTACTTAATTCGATAGAGGGTTGCAGAGTAAAATTTTAAACGCTAATTTGGTAATTTGTTAAAATAGTAGTAGAAATGCTGAAAACATAAAAATTTAGCTGTCAAGTGTAGAACAAAGTGTTTTCAAATTAGCTGATATTCGAGAAAATTAAAAATATATTAAAGTTGGAACAGTAGAACAAGATTATTGCGTGTTTAAAAAATAGTACTAAAAATTAAAAATATTTATTTGACGTGTACATGTCATAAGATTATATATGTTATGACCAAATGTCTCCACGAGCCATAAATTATGTATTATCGTCTGTCAGTTCATTATAATGTCACATGGAGATTGATTACGTCTTGCCATATATTTTTGCTCTACCATAAAATAACAAGTAAGGCTGCGGTTACATTGCATACGAATTTTGTCTTGCATGTTCGTACGAACAAATCAAATGCATGTAAATATATGTGAGTGGTTACAGTTGTGGAGAAATATACGCGCGACGTCTTCTCTTTCTCATGCGAATATTTGATTAAAGAAAATATTTTGTTTGAAATTCATCAGTTCGTGCAAAATCGAAGGTGTAAATAGTGAAATTGGGAGGAGAGTGTTGTTTTCACGTAATTTTAAGTTAATAAATGGAAATAAATTTGAAAAAATATACTACTTTTAGGAAATGAATTGTGATTTGCTAATTTTATTGTTTGAAGAATAGATAAACTTTCCATTTTTATACTTTGTAGAATAAAAATCATGCATCAAAATTCATCTGTTTTTACTTGAAATTAATAAATAACTTGACAACGAATTTTTCTCAAAATATATTACATCTTTACTCGTCATTTTGTTTTATAGAGTTCTTATGGAGTGTTACAATGCATTCAACCAACTGGCCACCCACAACCAGGTCTCTCTGATTTGGGTACCCGGATATGAAGGACACGAAGACAATGAAAAGGCGGACCTTTATGCCAAAAAAGGGGCAGTAGAACCATTTTTTGGTCCAACTCCCTTCTTTGGCTTCAATAAAACGAACACAAAACAGGAGACCAAGAAATGGAACCAACAAAGTATCAATGAATATTGGAATGGAATAGACGGATATATCATTTCAAAGAATTCTTAAATTTTGATATCAAAAGAGCCTACAAAAGTCTCAACCTAAGCAAGAAGAGTCTAAAGTCACTCTCTGGTGCACTAATAGGCCACGCCGTATGTAACAAACACCTACACAAAGTAGGTATATCCGATACCAATATTTGCAGATTCTGCTGTGATGAGGAAGAGTCTATGGAACATCTGATGACCAACTGTGATGCAACTATGAAGAAACAAAATTTTAGGTCCATACCAACTTGAGGATGAAGAGGATTCCTCGAGATACTAAATATCTAAATACAAAGGGGAGCACAATAGATCAAACTGGTCGCAGTGCATAAGGGCCTTAGCCTAGCCTTAGTCTTCCAATAAAAAAAAAAACCGTTAGAACACATTCCGATTAAAAATATATAAAAAATAAATATATACGCTTAAAACAAAATCTTTTTACATTGATACTCTAGAACAGATATTTTCTACAATAACATTTTATTATTATTATGTTTGATTATTTTCTTTAAAGCAATTTAATATGCCAAACACACTAACAAAGTTTAATCAGGTTACATATTACTCTAACTGGGTAACATATATGTAAGGCAGTAGAAAAATAAAATCATCTCATAGACACTTAAATCCAGTTCTTCACGGATTTGAAGCGATATGAAGTCTTTGCTTATCCGGTTGACCTGGCTATAGTGGTTAATGAAACGGATGAGTAATCTTATCTTATCTGTAGCAAGCAGAACTAATAACGATTGTCAGTAATTTCAGAAAGAAGCATCTATTATTGTTACCAGTAAAAAAAAATTTAATCTTAGACAGTTATTGATCTATGGCAAAATCATTAACTTTTCAAATGAAGCCAATCTAAATGGCATAGTGCTACAATAGCTTTCCGGCTAAGTAAACGATTCTATGGAAATAGTAGTGGAGTTTAGTCGGTATGATAAAATAGACTGTTGAACAGAGAAATTAGAAAAGCTATAGAAACTAGCTAAAATATATGTAAATTATGGTGTGTTTGAACATAGTATAAAAGTGTCAAATTCTTCACTGAACTAAGATACATGACATTTGTAGAGAATTTTATAGTTAGGTTATGTTCTTATTTTATTTTATGTAAGAATAGAATATGCCAATAATAATAATAATGATTTTTTACAGAATTAAATATTGGTGCCTAATGAAGTTATCAGTGTATCGTAGGACTCGGCCCCACCCATCTCTTTACAAAAGTTATTTCTTTTTGAATATTTGAATTTGCCATTATACAGAAATGTAGGCCGATATGAATTGGCAAATTTGCGAATATTGCAAATACTTATGTTATTTCGATTGATTGCAGGATATAAAAATGGTTTATTAGTTTCAATAGAAGTAAATCGAAATTATAACGTGACAATTTCGACTTGAAATGAATAATTTGATTTTTGAGCATTTGCTGCGGTTAACGCGTCCTTGAAGCTGACATGTCTTGGTGTTTTTTTTGTTTACAATGTTCTATTACTAAACTTTTTTTTATTAATTTTTTTATGTTCTCTATTTTTTAGGATTGCTACCAAGCACGAAGTTCGCATGTCTCTGCCAAATTCAATAAGTCCAACTGCCAAATTTGTCTTTTCCTTTTTTCTATTTCTTATAAATTTTTCAAATTAAATCCTTTGCAGAATATGATATATCAAATATCTAATCCTTTTTGAAAAAACTGAAATGTTTATATTATTAAAATAATATATTTAACAGCTTAAATAAAAATAAATACCCGTACTTATGTTGTTCCATTTTTCATTTTTATATACAAAATTCTTGAAGGATTGACTGAGTTCTGTTATGAGAAGGAAAGCTGTGCGTGTATGGAAAGGATCAAAACTTGATTTTGGTTTCATTAAAACAAATTGTTATGCTCTTTTGCTTTGCTCAGAGTTGAAGTTCAAGGACTCCGAACTTACACGACATGCAGTAATTAATTATGAATTTATTGTTGACTTTTAATGAGCCCAGCTCTACGGGTTACTTTATTTACTTAATCTACTAATTCTGACAGGATACATTTTGATACATATGTTTTTTAATAATATTCCTGCGTCTATACATAAGAACATATGTAAATGAAGATAATTGGTACTCAGAAGTAGAATGTTGCAAAGCTAATTGTTCAAATATAGAGAATATAAGTGACTACAATAGGTCAGTAAATTTTTAGTATAGAGTAGTAAAATAAAAGGATTGCTGTTATGATGACAATACTCCTGTATAGTAGTGTTGAAATATCACATGTATTTCTTTAGACAAGAAAATGTATCTTATGAACTTGAAAGATTAACACGTCATTTATTAATCCAATTTTTTATTCTACCAGAACAAAAAAGCCTATACAATTTCTGGGGAAGTGCGTTGGATTCTTGCATGTTTTAATATCTTACACAACACTTAGTATTTTTGTAACGATTGAAAAAGTAAAAGAAAAACTGCAGTATATAATATTTTTTCTATACTCTATAGTCACTCTATAGTCTATAGTCAGAGTATCCCGTATTTTCTCTATAATTACAGAATATTGGGTTTTTGGTATATTTTTGAACAATAATTTTCTTTATTAAAATTTATTTTAATGAATTTATAATAATTTTTAATTTGCCATTATTTTTTATGATCTTTTGTCATTTTTCGGTTTAAAGCTATCCGAATAATTCCTTCGCTATAGAACTTTTATGATTTATCAACGAAAAACTACCATTAACTAAGTTTTTCATAGAGCGAAACAAACGATAGTTAGATGGTGCAATGTTCGAACCACACTGTGGGATATATCAAAACTTCCTAATCTAGTTCGCTTAATTTGTTTCGAGTCTGGCATTGTCAATTCTGTTTTCGCTTCTTTAATTGTTTCAAGCTTGAGGTCGAACTGCAAGCAGAAGAGAATCGAATTTACCATTGTCAAAGACAATTTCCTTCTAATCCCACCAAATACTCAACTTAACTTTGTTTGTCGTCAATCCAGGCTTTTTATGCGTTTATGAAAGGTCACTGGCCTTTGATGATCATTGTTGTTTTCTGTATTATCGTATTTAATCAATTTTAACCAGTTTAGTGAAATGGTTTAATTTGTTTGCATTTCATTGATTATAATTTGGTTCATCATATTCCTTTGCGTTAATTCATGCGGTACCCAAACATCGACTGCTTTGGCGTGTACTTGATATTTAGTGCCTTCCTTATCTCCTGCTAGCTCGGAGCTATCGGTCTGACTCCACAAGTCATCAAAATCTACAAAATTCTGTCGGATGTTTAAGTGTATGGCTAACCACAATGAGATGCATCTTTGATATCGCAATATCTGGAATGAAAACAAGGAATGAAACAGATATATCCTATAGATGATTTTAGTTATGTGAAAATTGCTTGAAACAAACTCTTTTAAGATAATAAGAAGTAATTTTGGGTAAATAGTGATAGGTTTTTCAGTTATATATCCTGCCGGTCCAAAAATATATCATAAATTCTTTAATTTAAACAATATTCCAGACACGCGATATCTAAATAAAAATTTTTTATTTAGTGAAATAATTATATAAGAAATAGAAGAGATATATTCTAATTTCTGTAAAATTTAGATGGTTCTTTCTGTTCAAAAAAATATTGTTTTTGTAATTAACCGTATTAAATTCAACTCACGGGTTTGTTATGCAACCTCTCCAAAGATGTCGTAAGAGACCGTTACATTAGTGTTTACTTCACTTCAATAGAAGTTTAGAATATTACTAATATTGTAAATTTGTAACAGTACTAATTAATGGCTTACTCCAATAGCTGGTGTATATAAGGTGACGGCGCTTAATACTGATAGGAAGTTGTCTACTTTGCCACAATAGAAGAATATATATATTAGAGAC